CTGCTAAGGCATTTATGTAAGAATGTGTAAGGACACTTACAACTAACCAATAAAATGATAACCCAATTATAAAATAGCCAAGTATTTGAGTAGACATTTCTCCAAAGAAGATACACAGTGGCTAAGAGGCACACGAAAAGATGGTTAGCATCATCGAACATTTCAGAGATACCAATCCAAACCATAATGAGGCAGTATTTCATACTCACTAGGCTATCTGAAATTAGAATGATGGATAATAACGATGTTGGCAAGGATGCAGAAAACTCAGAATGCTTATGTATTGATAATGGAAAAGCAAAATGATGGAGCTGTTTAGGAAACTTTTTTTTGGTCTTTTTGAGACAGGGTCTCCCCATAGCCCCAGCTGTCCTGGGACTCACTATGTAGACCAGGCTGGCCTTGAACTCACAGAGATCCACCTGCCTCTGCCTCCTGAGTGCTGGGATTAAAGGAGTGCGCCACCATAGGAAATATTTTTAACAGTCCTTCAAAATGTTAAACACAGGGTTACCATATGACCCAGCGATTCTGTTGCTAAGAGAATTGAAAATATGCCCCCACAAAAGACTGTATGCAGATGTATGTAGTATTACCTTACATATCCAAACATAGAAACAATCCACATATCCATCTCCAGATGAATAGGTCAATAAAATGTGGTACATCTCCACAATGAAACACTATTCTGCAGTAAGAAATGAATTAGTGATGCATGCTTTAACGTATACAATCAGTGAGATGAATGACCCTCAAAAACTTCATGTTAAGTTAGAGAAGCCAGTCACAAAAGAGTGGATATTATATGATTCTATTCATGTGAAATGTCTAGAATGAGCAAATCTGTAGAGACAAAGTAGATTAATGATTGCCTGGGATTAAGGCCAAGTCTTTGGGAAATGTAGTTTGACTGCTAAACATACACAGTCTCTTTATGGGGTCAATAAAAATATATATTTGGAATGAAGTGATGGCCGCACATCTCTGTGAACAAACTAAAAACTATGGAATTACACATTCTCAATGGGCAATTTCATGGGATGTGAGTTATCTCTCAATGAACACTTTTTGGAAAGGGACCCGGGATGCAGCTCAGTGGTAGAGCACTTATCAAGCATGCACAGGGCCCTGAGTTCCATTTCCGTTATTGCAAGAGAAAAAAAGAAGGGAAAAAATTAAACACCAAGTCACCAGTTTGTTTCTAGGACTTTATCCAAGGAAAATTAAATATATATTTACTGGTTTTTCAAATATTCTTTGTAGTGTCATTCATATTATCCCCAAACTGGAAGCCGTCTATCTACTCATCAGCTAGTGAAAGTTTTAAACAAAATGTGGTATATACATACAACAGAGAGGGGCTACACAGTGAAAGGAAAAAATTTATGGCACATGCTACAATGTAGATGACCCAAGGTGGGTCCAACATAGTTTAATTCCATTTGTATTGAATGTCCAGCAAATGCAAATCTACAGAGATAGAAAGCAGATTAGTGAGGCTGAGAATGGAATCACAGATTGACTCCAAATGGGCCTCATAAGAATTTTTTGGGGGGTGGTAGAAGTCATCTAAATTTGGATTGATTTACTAGTTCATAATTCTATACATCTCCTGAACCCATTTACTTATATAATAGGCAAACTTTATATTATTTAATCAATAAAATTCACCTGAATAAATGCAGTCTCAAGCATGAAGACATGAATTCAAACCCCCAGAACCCATGTAGAAGGCTGGGTATGGTTCCATGTGTACCTTTAATGCCAGTGCTGTGGGAGGGTAGAGACAGAAGGCTCACTGAAGGTTGCTGGCCAGCCTACCTCTAATTTCAGTGAGAGACTTTATCTCAAGGAAATACAACAGAGAGTGATACAACAGGACACCTGATGTCTTCCTCTGGTCTCTGTGTGTGCATACACCACACACACACACACACACACACACACACATATACATGCACACAGATACACAAATACACGTACACACATATACATACACATATATACATACACACATAGACACAAATACATACACATGCACACAATCACACACATATACACATAAACATATGTAGAATCAAGTTTCTGGTTTCAAAAATCAACACTAAAGGAATGAAAAGGTAAGTCATAGACTGTGAAAAAAATAGCTGGAAAATTCATACTGCAAAAGCCTCTAACCACAATACACAGAGAAGTCCTACCCTACAGACATGTGAGGAAAGGGCTGATGCTTCATTAAATGAGCACAATATTTGAATAGGCTTTATATAAAAAAGAACAGTCAAGGATCAATAGACAAATTAAAATGTGCTTAATACCATTACTAATCAGTTAATTGTGAACCAAACTACTAATATCACTATTCCTTCATAAGACTGGATCCATTTAAAGGAGTGATAATACCAACTGTCAAAAATATGGAGCAACTTACTTTTATACATTACTTATGTGCATTTGATCAGAGTAATTACTTTGTATTACATTTCGGTATAGAGTAGTGCCAAATACATAGAGAACCTATACACTCAGAAATTTTAGTGCTTATGGCAAACCAAAAGATATATCTAAAAATATTCATAGCAGCATTGCTTTAAAAAGCATCAAGCTGGCCATAATACAAATGCTTATGAATAGTAAACTTTGTAAATAATTATATTAAAGTAATACAATAAATATTATCCAGAAATGAAATGATACATTAGAGTTCCATGCAATATAGCATGTTAAGTGGAGGAGGACACAGAGAGAATGTTGATAGTGTGTGCTTTAGGCAAAGCTTATCTATGGCAGCAAAGGTAAAAGTGATTTTTGGAAGAACTCTGTGGAGATCCTGGGGTATTAGAAAAGTTATATGTGTCTTTGATTTGCGAAGGAACTTAAATAGGTGTGTGTGTGTGTGTGTGTGTGTGTGTCTTTTTTGTACATATAATTGTACAATTTGATGAATGTGCATTTGATATAGTAATCAAAAAGCAAAGACAGATTTATTTATCTGTTTCATTCTGACAACATAAACACAGGATACATGTCCTAGAAACCATTGAAAAGCTGCTCCTGAAATGAATTAGAAGGCTGAGGGGATAGAGAAGATTAAACTTCTCTGAATATATCTTTTTATGTAGTTTTAATTTTTGATTATGCTAAACTCAAAATATGTTTTACTGTATAAACAAAGTTTTTCAAAGAGGATGAATATAATTTTTAGGGCAGGGTACCAGTCCTGGAGATGCTGACAAATCACCTGTTTCAGACTGAGGCACATGACTAGTGTTGGCCCAAGGCCTTAGGTAGCAAGCCTTACTGACAACGGTAACAGCCGATGTCCCTGCTGTGCTCTCCACCCCCGCCAAGGAGGTCCCATCCTGAGGTGGGTAGAGCCCCAGGGTGGAAGTGGCCAGAATCTCTGAGTACCACAGTGAGCACAGCTACTCTCAAGAGTCACCTATCTCACACTAGAGTCTAAGAGTGATAAGAAAACCTCTAGGATTTGGGCTTAGTTTGTTGCATTGGCCCTTAGGATAGCCTGCACTCCTCTGGCCTTAACAGGGAAGATAGAAAATTGAGGCTATTTGCTGAGTGTGAGGTTTAGTGGTTTCTTTGGGAAATTTAGTGAGAAGCTTTGCATCAGACTGAGAGGAAGTGTAATAGGAAGGCTAACAGAACTTTAGAAATGGAAGAAAACTAGAGTATGTTATCCCTCCCATTTTGAGACAAAGAAAGAAGCGCCAAAGAGACTGAGACAAGGTTGGAGCACATTAACAAGTACGTAGCACAGCCTGGACTCCAAGCGGCATTGTTCCTGAGGTCTGAGGATAGGTCGAACTGTTGAGTTCCAACTGCTTCTGAAAGTCACTATTAGCTCAGGGCTCTGTACAGCATGCTGAACCTCCTTTAGTTTCTTGGCAGAAGGCCTAGATGGGGAACAGCAGTATCTGAGCCCAATTCTGAAGTCTCAGCACAATCTCCTCATTTCTCTTTCCTAACAGCCTATCAAGGGCATATTGACGTAGAGTTATCAGGAAAGAGCTCTAAAAAAACTAATGCTTTCATTTTTTTGAACCTTATACATTTATTGTTTGGACTACTTTTTGAGTGTGTGTGAGTGTGTGTGTGTGTGTGTGTGTGTGTGTGTGCTCATGTTCATGTGGTTGGAGATCAGAGGATTCAGACATCATCTACCATTTTTTGAAACAGGGTCTTTCACTGGTCTGGAGTTCACCAAATAGGCGAAATTGGCTAGCCAATGAGCCCTAGGGATCCACCTGTCTCTGCGTCTTTAGTGCTATGGTTATGTATGGGCCACTATGACCAGCTTTTTAATGAGAGCTCTGGGGCTCAAACTCAGGTCTCCAAGGTGACAGGCCAAGGGATTTGCCAACTGAGCCATTTCCTCAGTCTCTGAATTTTTTTTTTAATGATTTGAGTCATTTATGTAAACAGAGCAGGCAAGAAAATTAGCAAAATGCTCCTGTTGAGAACTCACTCCCTTGTCTTTGGTGGTTTTCGTGTGGACAATAATTTCTTCTCCTCTTGCATATATTAAGACTAGGAAATGTCTGTGACATTATTTTGAATGAATGTTTAAAGGGTTGTTACTTTAACCATAATTTTTCCTTTTGATTTGTAAAATTTGTTGGTTTAGCCTTACTTAGGTCTCCGTGACCAGCCACATCTCCTGAGCCAGCCTTAGATTCTCTTGCTTATGATCTGGGTAAATCCCCTTGTGTCTTGCTTAGGAGTTTTGCTGGGAAGGGTTTAACCCCACCTTCCCTTCCCCTCCTTTTCTAATCTGTAATAAGGTAAGAATCTCCAGACCCCTCTTTCCCTCTGCACTCTGATCTTGGGAGGATAAAGGGGGTCATTGTCACATCATCACTGGTCAGCCAATCAGGAGAGAACCTTCCTTCAATGACCCCGCCACCCCCCACATTTCGTAGAAGTTCTTAGGCAGCCTCAATGGAAGGAGGGAACCAAGAAGAAGGCCTGCTCCAAGCCTGAAGATGATCATTACAACATGGATGGTGTACATCTTTGCACGGAAAAGTGTAGGGCTGCCCTTCCCACCAAAGATGAACTCGGTGAGTGGTGGTGGTGGTGGTCACATGAAGCTGTGCCTTGTCTATCTTCTTTCCCTCTGTACCCTGCTATGTTTTAGAGGCATCTCACATCATATCACATTGGATAGGAGGGGTGGAGGTGGGAGCTGGGTTTCTAGGGTTTCTGAGGTCATCAATTTACTAATTTGTTCCAGGACATTGAAGTTGTAGAGAGTGAAGCCGTATCTGTAGTACAGCACTGGTTGAATAAAGTGAGTAGAACTCTTCTGTGATTCAATATTCAAAATTCTAGAGTTCAGGTCTCATTGTGGGGCAGGGTCTGGACTCCACTCCACTCCCTATACAACTGGGAAACGAGTTTGTTACTAAACGCCCTACCTATGGCTGAGTTTAATTCATCCTAATGTCTGAGAGGAAGTTCTTGCACAGGTGAGATACATGTTGGCATCACCTCTCACTGACCCTGCCTATCAGGTATCCTAGAGGAGGGAATTATGTTCAAGGTAGTCTCAGGAGTGCTTTAGGATAGGGCCAGAGACTTGCGGGAGCTCCTAGGTATTCACAGAAGGGTAATAATGGAGAAGCTTAGTGCAGAAGCTTGGAGATAAGGAGTATGGATGTGTGTGTGTGTGTGTGTGTGTGTGTGTGTGTGTATGGATGTGTGGCATGTGTGTTGTGATGGAGAGGAACAAAGGGAAAGAAGAGAGGAGGATTTAGGAGTGATCAGATGAGACAGGCACTTTGAGAGGGAAATTATTCACCTTTCAGACAGAGGAAGAGGCTTCCCGAAACATAAAGGAGAAGATGTCCACCAATGCCTCTCCCACTCATGGCCAAGACATACATGTGACTAGAGATGTGGTAACAGAATTTGAGTCAGTTGCCTTGGGAGTAGGGGTGAGGGAGTGGGGTGACCCATGGTAAAAGATACTGGGCAAAAGGTACACCCCATTGGTCCACATTGGTCAGTAACCACATTATTCTACCTGGATTTCCTAGGTGAAGCACCATCTCTCAAAGTCTGATATGTCAGAAAACTCGAATCAGGTCCTGGAGGAAAGAACAAGAATCCAGTTCATAAGATGGAGGTGCAGCATCTGAGGAGTGGGGAGGGCATTGGGAAGGCACTGGCCCCGTCTCAGGATCCCTGGCTAACACAAACACCACAGCCACCTCCTTTGGCTGAGAAATTTCTCCACCTTGCTTTGGGTCTTTCTATTTAAATATTTTATTCATTATTTTTATTTTATGTGTATGAGTGTATTCCCTGCATGTATGTAAGTGTACCCATGTTGTGTAATGCTCATGGAGGTCAGAAGAGGGCATGGATTCCCCTGGAACTGGAATTATGAATGGTTGTTAGCTACCATATGGTTCCTGGGAATAGAACCTGGGTCCTCTGCAAGAGCTGTCAGTGCTCTAGCCACTGGAGAAAGCTCCAGTTCCAGCCCTTGCTTTAGGGTCTTAAGGGAGTATTTGTGCTCTCTTGAAAGCTTAGCTCATTCATACATTTTTAAATGACTTCAGGGGTTGGGAAACTGGGTTTGCTCTCTATTTCCTAAAGGCTTCTGAATACATTTCAGATTTCTGTTATTTTTGCACTTCAGTTGTTCAGCAGTGACTGCACTTTAAAGAGCTAAAAGAAAATAAGCTCTTAAAATGCAAAAGTCAAAGCCTTCATCGGCAACTTTGGTGTGTGGGGGTCGCCCAGTGCCTGAGGCAAGAATTCTGTGATAAAACCACATGCCAGCTTCCTGCCACCTTGGTGCAGTCCATTCTCACAACTTCTCTTGTTTCCAAAGACGCTAAGACTGCAGGTGGAGGGGCTGGACCTGAAGCCACCTCATTCTTCCTGCAGAAACATCCTACGTTCTCTCTGTTCCCTGAATTCATTTGTATTTGGATCAGATCATCACATTCCTTCTCTTTGGAAGGACTGTGGGCTTAAACTGGTTCATGTGCAACTAATGGAAGGTGCTCATTGCCTACCTCTTTCCCCTCTGCTCCCACTGCTTGATTTGCTCTTTAGGAAGCTGCATTTCTCAGAAAGAGTATTTTTACTTCAGGAAATTGGGTCTCATGTGTTTTCTTTTCAGTGGCACTGTATTATAGGAGGATTCAAAAGCACAGTAATTATTTTAGGGAGGGATAACTTATGGAATTTCAGAGATTCCTGGAAAAGATATTTTCCCTGAGAAATCTGTTGAGGTTCCTCAAATCATCATTGTCTGCTGCATCCAAGCTTTTCCTTGCTTGATGCAGATGCCCTGTGGTCACTCTCCTTGGTTTGGATAATACGAACCTCATTCTCCAATATGTCTTAAGCCTTGGCCATATAGCTTAACTAGTTTAAAAATTTGAGGCAGGCTACAGGGGCCAGTCAATTATCTTCCTAAAATTTTTTCATTCAAAATTTTCTTTTAAAAATGTTTCTTTGATTTATTTTTATTTTGTGTTATGAGTGTTTTGCCTGTGTGTCCAATGCCTGCAGAAGTCAGAAGAGGGCACTGAGTCCCCTGGAGCTGGAGTTAACAATTGTGGGTGTTGGGAACTGAATCTGGGTCCTTTGGAAAAACAGCCAGTGCTCTCAACTGCTGAGCCATCCTTTTAGCCCTTCCACTCAGAATTTTCAATGGTGATTTGAAACCAACAGTTTTGTCTGTTTTCTCCCATGACATACTGGTTCTGGTGTTTTCCTCTTAGTTCTGGTAAGGAGGCAATCAGAGTGACATCTCTGCATCCAGAGGCACTGGATCTTCATTCCTTTAATAAATGTGCACACACTTGCTGGAGGGATGTTCTTTCCTCCTGTCTGGAGGAGAGAAGAGAACAAGCATAGCCCCCAGTTTCAAATGGGTAAAAGTTAAGCAGAAGGGTAGGGTGTGTGAAAGTGTTACGGAATCCATGATGCATGCCTGAGAGCACAGCTTGGGATCTGGGATACACATGTGTTTGGTTTTACTGCCAGACAGTCTCTGAAAGGTTCCCTGGGGGCTGTTTGCTCAAACTGGCTCTTGAGTGGGGCTTTACTACTAGAGAAACAGGGAGGCAAGGTGAAAATTGCAAAAAGTTAGAGAGCCTGTGTAGCTTGTGCATCCCAGGTGCCTCTAGGACCCAGTGTTGGGACTTGTCTTCTCTGAGGGGCCACGTTCCCTTAGACTGGGGACAAAAGACTCTACCTGCTTTATCTCACTTTCTGGGCTCTGATTGGTTTTGCCTTGTATGAACCACATTCACAATCATACCTCCCTTCCCTATGATCAAAGCCCTTAAAAGTCCCAAATGTACTAAGACAGGGCACCAAGGAGAGACATTCTCATAGATAAAGGAAGGGGCATTGGGTAGACAGTACAGGGCTCCAGAGGGTAGGAATGGGAAATAACATGGGAAAGGACAGGAAGTGGGCCAGAGCGAGGAAGGAAGTCCAGTATAGAGAAATAAGACAAACAGTAGCCAGGACGTGCCTGTAGCGTCCCTGTGGCAGATTTTCTAGAAGCTTCTTAAATCATAGTGAATATATCATAATACTGATCTTAAGTGATAATGGAGCTGGAGAGGAATTCAGAAAGGAGAGTTCTACAACACTGTCACCCTGTCTCTCCTGGGGACCATTTGCTGCCTGCTTATAATGGCTAGGTGGCTTAGAGGTACTTTTTTAGTTACCACATGGAAGGGTGAGGGGTTCTCAGGTTCATGGCATCTGTGTAAGAGCTGTTGTTCCTATAGTTCCAATTCTAGTAATCTTATTAGACTTAATGATAGAAAGCTCAGAATCCCATGACTCAGTGGTGTTTTTCAGCCACACCCGTATCTTCCAAGTACCAAGTGATATGATAGATGATGTCATGCAGGACCGAATAGAGCAGGTCAGACGAAGGTAAGTTCTTGTCACAAGTTGCCTTGTATGCCTTACTGGGGTAGGTGGGGTGGAGGTGACTGCACAGCTGTGCACATCCTAACCATTACGTCCTTGTTGGCTCTCACATCAAGAGCAGGACAATCTGTCTTTTGTGATCTACATTACAGTGGCCTCATTGATCTCCTGTGGTACCTGCCAGGAGCTCCAGGCTGAGGGCCTTCTTCATGGACTTCTATTCCAAGGTCCATGCATGATGACAGCCCAGGCCAAATCTGCCCACACAGTACCTGTCCCCTTGGTCTGAGTGTGAGACCTGCGTGGAGTTTGGCAGCAGTCTCACTTTCACCTTGCCTTTGTCCTCTGCAGCATATCCCAGCTCAGGTGTGACTCAGATCAGGACCCAAACTTCAGATGTTCCTGCTAAGAATGCTAAGGTGAGGAGACCCACAGGTGAGGGCCTATACTGAGAGGGTGGCTAGCCTTGGCAGTAAAAAGGAGCCCTAGCATGACAGTAAGCCTTACCCTTTCTGGAGTAATGGGTCTGCACTTGGGCCAGTGAGGACAGGAAGAAGTATTGGCTTTGGGCTCCTGCAGTGCTGCTCAGAGTTCTGGAAGGACTCAGGCTTGTTATAGATTGATTTCTTTGACTGTTTTAACTGTGGCAGAGTTTCTCAGTGGGTCCCAGGCCCTCCTGCTCGGAAGACTGCAGGTTTGCATTTTTTCCCCATAGAGAAATCCCCTCTTTTTGCCAATTTAATGTCAAGTCTTTTATACCTATAATATCCATTAAGATTTCCAAAGCCAGTTAGAATTCTTGCCTTGGTAAGACCTGTTTGGGAAGTAGTGACTCTCTTTGGAAGGTAAGTGAATGTGCTATCTATTGATTTCAACTTCTAAGGCTATAGATGAAACAAAGATGGCATCCTATTAACTTATATATTCAAACAATACTTCTTCAAAGATATCCAAGAAATGGGCCTGTGCTTCTAACCTGTTGAGAGGTTTGAGGCGAGAGATGTGGAGACATTTTACTGCATAACTTCTTGTGTCTTTTAAAATTTGTATGGCTAGAGAGATGGATTAGTGGTTAAGAGCCTGTACTACCCTCGCAGAGGACTTGAGTCTGGATCCCATCACCCAAAATGGATGTCTTAAAATTGCCTGTAACTCCAGCTCCAGGAGATCTGATACCCTCTTCTGGCCTCTGAGGTCATCTGCACTCATGTGCATAAATCCACACACAAGCACACGCTTCATATACTAATTAAAATAAAACATTTTTTTTGGGCTGCATTTTAAATTATCTGGCAGTGCTTCTGCTATACCACTGACCCTACTTTGAGCCACAAAGTCACAGTCAGGAGGGTATACAGATTCTGAACCTGCCACCAACCAGAAATTTTGGGCCATGTAGCCTCTGTTTGTGCTTTGTATGAGACAGTGGCCATAACTGGATGCTGATATAGTTCTGTGAAGTGGAGAGCCACAGGGAAGACCATCCCAACACAGGGTCCATGCCTGAAGCAGTCTTGGCACCCTATCTGAGTGAGATGCTCTGATAGCTGTGGTGGGAATGAAAGTGTGATTTACACATAGCTGGACTCCACATGCTTAAAGAAGGCCAGGAAGATGCAACGGTAACATTTATTAAGCACCTTCGGTTCCAGCTTCTGCAGAAAGCACGTTTTGTCAAGCATTATACAGAAGACAGAGGGTAAGCCAAGCTGGAGAGCAGATATTGCTTTTCTAATAAAGGGTCACTGAGCATTTTTCTGATTCCTAGGTTGAAGGCTTCCAGGGTCCAGCCTGTGTCCAAAGAGTGTCCATCTTGCGTTTGACCTGAAGGGTTAGCAGACTTGAGCTGAGAGACTTTGAGCCCTTGGTTGCCACAGTGACAGTACTGGAATCCTCTCACTGAACTGCTAATAAAGAGACAGCCTATTTAACAACGAGTCCTGATGTTTGTATAGATACTTTGCCTGCCATTCATCCATCCATCCATCTATCCATCCCTCCCTCCTTCCTCCATCATCAACTCATCCCTCCCTCCCTTCAACCATCCATCCCTCCCTCCCTCCCTCCCTTCAACCATCCCTCCCTTCAACCATCCCTTCACTCATCCCTCCATCCGTCCATCCAGCCATCCATCCGTCCATCCGTCCCTCCCTGCCTCCCTGCCTCCCTTCCTCCCTCCTTCCCTCCATGCCTTCATCCATCCCTTCATCCATCCATCCATCCATCCATCCATCTGTCCCTCCCTCCCTCCCTCCCTCCCTCCCTGTATATACCCACATATATTTTATGTCCACTTACTGCTTCTCTAGCATCTCCCTTATGTAGCTCTCAGTTTATGGATGGTATTCTTTCTTTCTCTGTGAAAAACTTCTTGAAGTTTCCTGCTAGACAGGTTTACTAGTGAAGATTTTCTTCAATTTTGAGTCTGAGGGAGTCTTTATTTTCACTTTGGAGGGATGATTCTGCAGGATACTGGCATCTTCCTGCTTTCAGTGTTTGAATATTTCACGGCACTCGTGCTTGTGTGTTTCTGAGAAGAGGATGTGATTCTTATCCTCCTCCTTCTTTAGATCAGGTGTTGCCTCAACTCTGTCTTTTTTTTTCAGCTGCCTTCTTTCAGGGTTTTTGTATTCATTGTTCAAAGTCCTGGGTGTCATAAGGCCATTTTCGCTCAGCATATAGCATGTCTTGAGCATATTACCCCCAGCTCCTTTCTCTCTTTTCTCCCCTCACTACTTATGTTAGTCTCCTTCATTTTCCAAGACAGTTTTGCTTCTACTTTCATGTCAAATGTACATACATGATTTTATGTATCTATATACAATCTAGAATTCACAAGTGAAAGAAAACATGTGATATTTGTCTTTCTGAGGAAGATTTAATCTGCTTAATATGATAATCTCCTTTTGTGTCCATTTTCTTGCAAATGACAAAACTCTGCTATCCTTTAAGGCTGAATAAACTTCCAATGTGTATACATACCAAATTATCTGGATTTGTTCCTTTGCTGACAGACCCCCTAGGTTGGTTCCTGTGTGTTTGACTTTCTGTGGCTTGACTATGATATAAGCAGACTGTTTTTGGCATTTATACTGCTGGGTGTTCGTTGAGATTCCTGGATCTGTTAGTTTTGTGTCTGTCATAAGATTTGGAAAATTCTTAGCTATTCTCACTTCAAATACTCCCTTGTTGCTTTCTCTGTTCTCCTGGTAGTCCCATTACCTATATGTCACAAAAACATTTTGTAACTGAACCACGGTTCTTGAAAATTCAGACACTCCCCACTCCTCTTTGGTTTTTAGTTTGGGCTCTTTCTGCTGACATTTTTGTTTTCTTGGTGATGGAGTGAACCCAGGGCCTCATGCATGCTGAGTATGTGCTCTGCTGTTGAGTATACCTCCAGCTTCTATTGTTATTTCTTTTCTTCACATGTGTGTCTCTCTGTGTGTGTTCTTCCTCTTTCTACCCCTGCCCCCAGCACTAGGACTTCTGGACTTTTTATATGGGTTCTGGGGATTAAACTCAGATTCTCATGCTTATTGTAATAAGCACTTTACAGACTGAACCATCTCTCTAGTCCCTGCTGTTATTTCTTGGGGCTTGTGGATTCTTTGATCAGCATTGTCTAGTCCACTGATGGGGACTTTAAAGGCATCCTTCAATTCTGTGTCGTGTTTTCTTCCTGTCATTTCCTTTAACTTTCCTTAGTGGTTCCATCTTTCTGCTGTTCCACCCATTTCCCACATACTCACTTTTTTTTCCAGTAGAGCCCTTGGTGCATTTATCAAAGTTGTTTTAAATTCCTGGTGTGATTATTCCAGCACATCTGCCACATGTGAGTCTAATTCTGATTCCTGCTGTGTTCTCCAGAATCTACTTTTTGGCATGGCATGTCTTTAAACTTTTTAATGAAAGGCAGAAGTGATGAATCAAGTAAAGGGACTAAGGAAAACCGGCCTTTATTGCTAGTGTTATGCTTAGCTGGCTAGGGATCAGGCTGCATGTGCTGCTCCCTCACCTGTAGGTTTTTCTAGATACTCCTTCACAGATAGAATCTGAGACCATTTCCCCCTTGATAACACCTTGTCCTAGTTTGTTCTCCATTGCTGTGACAAAACACTCTGACCAATACCAACTTGGGGAGGAAAAGATTTATTCAGCTTACATCTCCCAGGTTGCAGTTCATCAGGGAGCCCAAGATAGGAACTCAGGGCAGGAACCTGGAGGCAGGAGCTGGATGGAGCACAGGCCATGGAGGAACACTGCTTACTGGCTTGCTCCCTTGGCCTCTGCTCAGCCTGCTTTCTTATGCAACACAGGCCTACCTGCCCAGGGATGGTACCACCCACAGTGGGCTGGGCCCTCCCACATCACTTATCAGGAAGATGCCCCTCAGACATGGCCACAGGCAAGTCCAATAGAGGCAATTCCCCAATTGAGGCTCCCTCAACCCAGATGTGTCAAGTTGACACTAAAGCTATCCACCACACACCTGTTTCCTACTGTTCTCTGTCAGGCACCTTCTTTCTCTTTACCAATCCTGGTTCCTTTCCATTTTCTTGGTTCCTGCAGTCACATTAGGGTATCTACCCATATATAAGGATTTGGTGCTAGGATACATAAATGAGAGATAACATAAGTCGTTTGTTTTTCTGAGTCTGTGTTACTTCACTTAGTATAACAGTTTCTAGTTCTAGTCATTTACCTGCAGATTTCATGATTTTATCTTTCTTTACCACGGAGTAAAACTCAGTTGTGTAAATGTACCACATTGTCATCCACTCATCAGCTGAGAGACACTTAGCTTGCTTCCATTTCTTAGCTACTGTGAAAAGAGCAGTAGCAAACATGGATGTATAAGTATCTCTGCAGTAGGATGAGTCCTTTGGGTATATGACAAGGAGTGGTATAACTGGGTCATATGGTAGGTTCATTTTCAGTTTCTTAAGAGTTCTCCACGTGGTTTTCCATAGGGGTTGTACAAGTTTGCAGTCCCACCAGCAGTGAATGAGCATTCTCCTTTCTCCACATTCTTTCCAGCATTTGGTAGCATTTGTTATCTTGATTTTTAGTCAGTCTGAATGGGGTAAGATGAAATCTTAAAGTGGGTTTAATTTGCATTTCCCTAATTACTAAGGATGTTGAACACTTTTTAAGATGTTTCTTAGCTTTGTTTTTATACATATAACTCTGTTCAGCTCTATAGCCCATTGTTTAAATGGGTCACTTGTTTTTTTGATTCTTTGCTTTTGAGTTCTCTATATATTCTGGATGTTAAACTTGTGTCAGATGTGTAGCTGGTGAAGATTTTCTCCCACTCTATGGATTTTCTCTTCACTTCCTTGGTTGTTTCTTTTGCTGTACAGAAACTTTCTAGTTTAATGAGGTCTTACTTGTTGATCGTTGACCTTAATTCCTGAGCAACTGATGCCTGACTTAGAAAGTCCTTTCCTACACCTATATCTTGTAGGGTACTGCCTATATTTTCTTCTAGCAGTTTCAGAGTTTCAGGTTTCACATTGAGGTCTTTGATTCATTTGGAGTTGACTTTTGTGCAAGGCGAGATCCCATGAAGTGTCCAAGTAGAGATCCAGTTTTTTTCCTTTGGTCTTTTTGAGATAGGGTCTCCAGTTTTGTCAGTACCATTTGTTGAAGATGCTGTCTTTCCTAAATTCTAATTTTTCAGTATTCATAGAATAATATACATCAATAAACCTGTCCTACTCAGAAAACAAAATATTTATTTTTGTGTTTAAATCATCAACCCAATTTACAGAGAGGAACAAGAAGTTCAGAGGGTTGAGTTGCTTCCCTGATGTCCCACAGTCATTGAGTGACAGAATCAAGATTTACATCCAAGGAGCCAGAGCCAGTGAGCAGCTGTTCCCTGTAGAACTAGGCTAGGGTGAGGGGTCGTCTGGGTGATGCACTTTGACCAGATAGAGAATATCTCAGGAAGAGAAAGGGATAGACCTCACAAAAGTCCAGATACATACTGTCCCAACTGTCCCCATGGGTCAGGGACACCTGCCCTTGTTACCTGCTCCCAACTCCCATGCCTGCTTGCTCTAGTGGGGCAGGCAGAGGAAGAAAAGCAAGCATGAATCCCCCAGTCAGAAGCATAAGAAGGCAATGCTGGCCTCCAAGGGGGAAGGAGAACATGATTAGACAGAGGGAGCCAAAGGTCAGGCTGCTCAGTCTGAAGGGGACAGCAGGAGAGGCCAGGGAGGTGATGTGATATGGTAGCACATGGGAGTTGGAAGCTGATGGAATTCAAACATGCAGTGTCCCCTACAGGTTCATGTGGAGGTCTGGTCTCCAGCTGGTGGCTCTATTTTTTTCAGGTAGTGGAAAGTAGGAGATGGGGCTTAGCAGGAGAAACAGATACTGTCTCAGGTCTCCCCCTTCCTCCCCTTCATCATGAGGTGAGCAGCTTTGCTTCTCTATGAGCTTCCTGCCACCGTCATCAACCTCAGGATCCAGAAACAATGGCGTCAAGTAACCACTGCCTGAGCTTCAGAAAGGTAAGCCAAATAAATACTTCTTCATTTTAAGTTGTTACTCTCTGGTATTTGTCACAGCAGGTGTTCTAGTTTGTTTCTCCATTGCTGTGACAAAATACTCTGACCACTACCAACTTGGGGAGGAAAGGGTTTATTCAGTTTACATCTTCCAGGTCACAGTTCATCAGGGAGCCCAAGGTAAGAACTCAGGGCAGGAAATTGGAGGCAGGTCCTGGAGCATAGGCCATGGAGGAATGCTGCTTACTGGCTTGCTCCCCTGGCCCCTGCTCAGCCTGCTT